CTCTAAATCCTGAACCCTATAGGCTTGTGGGTTTGGAGCCGGAGGCTCACGTCTTACACCTTGGCGGGATCTTCGACCGAAGATCTCAATAGAACGCCTCCGGCATAAGCGACCCTCAAACGCCTCTGTCAACGACGACTAGTTTAAATCGTAAACAACTCTGCAAAGCCTTCTATACAAGGTGGGGCAGGCAGCTCTTTTTTTGTTACGTACATTTGAATTCTTAGGCTAGCCTCCAGTGTAAAGACGTACGAATGAGGAACAGCCCCCGTGAAGCATGACTGGGTAGAGTCCTGGTAAAGCAAAAGATTTTCCCGGGGATCCAAAAACCTACCGTTTTAAGGGTTCTACTCCCTAATTACGGGGTCATCATAACCTACTATTTTGAAGGGTTTGGGGTCACAGGTAAAGTTTTATGTAGAAACTTTCACATACTTTTCTCATAAAGGGAAGCGCTAACATTAACGACCAACATAAGCTTTCAAGGAGCCTTGCTCTAAACTCCGGGTATTGCTAAAGTCAATGCCTAATGTCGGGTCGGTAGGGTTTTTGTTCTTCCCGTAAAGTTTCGAATTTCAGTAGCATCGAAAGACGATACCTCTGACCCCAAACCCTACAAAATAGTAGGCTATGACCCCTTAATCAGAAGGTAGAACCCTTAAAACGGTAGGTTTTTGGATCCACAGGTAAACCTTGGCTAGTTTCAAGAGTAATGCTCTATCGGCTAGTTCCGGGTGAGTGCGTATGGTACGGGACGTATGGGGCGAACGCTCGGGGCATATGGGACGCATGGTACGGTACATATGGGACGCATGGTACGGAACACAAGGAGCATAGTACGGTACATATGGGACGCATGGTACGGTACATATGGGACGCCTGGTACGGAACACAAGGGGCATAGTACTGTACATATGGGAGACCGTACTGACCGTACCGTACCGACTGTACCGACTGTACCGTACCGCCCGCACCGATGTACCGTACCCAAATTACGTAGCAGAGCATCTCCAAGGATTAGCAAAGCAATGCTTTGCTAATCCTTGGAGATGCTCTCCTAATTTGGGTACCGTACATCGGTGCGGGCGGTACGGTACAGTCTTTGCTAATCCTTGGAGATGCTCTGCTAATTAGGGTACGGTACATCGGTGCGGGCGGTACGGTACAGTCGGTACAGTACGGTACAGTACGGTACAGTCGGTACGGTCCCCCATATGTTCAAGCCGCCCCATATGTACCACCAAGCCGCACCATACGTACCAACACAGCGCGCATACGCACCACCAAGCCGCACCATATGTACCACTAAGCCGCCCCATACGTACCAACACAGCGCCCCATACGCACCACCAAGCCGCACCCTACGCACCACCAAGCCGCACCAACTCATAGCACCTCCACGTGTAGCATAAACAGAAACCATAGCCTGCATTACTCTTGAAACTAGATAAGGTAAACCCTTAACCCTTGATCCCTTATAGGAGCCCTTTAAGGGAACCCTTATAGACTCCTTTAAAGGTTTAGGGTTTAGGGGTTCAGCCCCGAGTGTGAAGCTCCAGGCCGTGCGCTTCCACGGCTTCGTTGCTGCGCCGGGGCCCAGGCTTTGAGGAGTCTCAAGAGAGCCTAACCCTTACCTGTGACTCCAAACCCTACTAAATAGTAGGTTATGACCCCTTAATTAGAGGGTCTGACCCTTAAAACGGTAGGTTTTCGGATCCCCAGGTAACCCTTAGGCTCTAAGGACTCATATTTTAAGGCTTGTGGGCCTCAAGACCATACTATATAAGGCTTTTGGGTTTGGTGGGGTTTAGGGTTTACCTGTGGATCCAAAACCCTACCGTTCTAAGGGTTCTACCTTCTAATTAAGGGGTCATAGCCTACTATTTTGTAGGGTTTGGGGTCAGAGGTAGGGGTTTAGAGTTTCGGGTTTAAGGTTTCTCGTGTAGTGGCTTAGGGCCCCTGGCTCAATCGGTTTTCCGCAACCATAAGGCTCTATCAAAGGGCACTGAGGGAGCCCTAAACCCTAAACCCTAAACCCTACACCCTAAACCCTACACCCTAAACCCTAAACCCTAAACCCTAAACCCCTAAACCCTAAACCCCTAAACCCTAAACCCCGGACCATCAACCCTCAAGCCGATAGGCTACTCATTTTTTTGCACAATAGGCTTAGCGGGGTCCTGAGATGGTTCTACAGTTTGGGAAGTGAAGTTAGGGTTTAGGGTTTAAGGTTTAGGGTTGTGTGAGGGTTTTAAGCGTTCACAATTGTCAGCTAGTCGTGGTTTTGTACGGTTCTTGCCTGCGTGCATCGCCTATGTAGATTTCTTGTTTAGGTTGGAAGCGCTGAAGCTGAAGGGTTTTTCACCCGAATCTCGGCACCCAGTAAACTTATAGAATCCATGGAAATCTTGTACAAAATTCTACAGCACCCAATTTCCCAAACTGAGGACTCGCGCCGGGAATGGAATCATCTCGGTGTTCATCGGGGAGTCCTTCCTCAGCGAGGCAAATCAGGGTTCTATCAGGGGGCTAATAAGGGTTCTGCAGAAGAGTTCGATGGTGCTTTGTAAAGCTAAACCTGAACCCTCAACCCTAACCGCAATTGCAAGGTTTTTATAGCGCTTGGTGGTTCCAGAGTTCGGCTTGTCCTTTGCAGAGGTCCCCTCATGAATCACAATAATTTATTGTGCTGGGCCTTCAAAAAGGCCCAGCATAGTTTTCCGGAAAGCCGTTGCGCAACCGGTATGAAACTACTGTAAAGCCAACTAGGATAAGCAACAGAGCCTTTGGAAAGACCTACAAAAACAGCCCTGAAGTAATACCTCTATGAAGCCATATTGGTGGTTGTCCCTTGTTGGGTCCTTATTATAATACGGCACCTAATATTTAGGGTACCCAGAAAGGGACCATAATTCTGACAACCACCCATTCAACGGGGAAAAGGAGGGACCCTTAATGGGGATCCCTACCCTATAAGGGGCTGTATAATGGGTAAGAATATAATATTATTAAGGGTATATACCTAGCGGTCCTTATTAAGGGTCCCTCCTTTTGCCCGTGGACCCATACTAAACCGTAAACCTTGAACCTTGAACCCTGGAGTCGCTGCTGTAGACCTTGGGAAGAGGAGCTCAACAAAAGAAACACCCTGAACCCGAGAAAAACACCACGTAACCTGGGATCCCAAAACCTACCGTTTTAAGGGTTCTACTCTCTAATTAAGGGGTCATAACCTACTATTTTGTAGGGTTTGGGGTCACAGGAAAGTCTTATGACCTCGAACTCCCCTCAAAAGACAGCCCTAAGTGATTGGGCTCTTTGGGGTTTCGTTTAGGTTCGCAAACGAGGCTTTGGGTTTACTTTGTTAGCCCCAAATATCCTACCTGTATTCAGGGTTCCTTATACTGTGAAGTTGTTTATATGTAGGTGGCGGGTGGCCAGACCGCCAAGGCCATGAATGTAGTATACAAGTTTTAAACTTGCCGCATGTTTAAACCTAAACCCTAAACCCTACCTGTATCCCCAAACCCTACAAAATAGTAGGTTATGACCCCTTAATTAGAGAGTAGAACCCTTAAAACGGTAGGGTTTCGGATCCCAAGGTAAACCCTATTGTATGTAGAGTTGGCGGCCCGGGCCCGACGGCACAAGAGGTAGTATAAGATATTGCAAGGTTTAGGGTTTAGGGTAGGGCTTGGCACCGGCAGCCTAAGGCATGTCCCCGGCATGAGGATGATCATGCCCATGATCATCCCCCCCCCACCCCCCCCAGGCCCCATTGATCATCGTTTTCATCAACAGTTTCCATAGCCATTCCGGATGAGCCTGCCTTCCACTTCAACTGAAGGTTCTGCATGAGATGCTTTGCTGTAAGCATCCACACAGTACATCACCGGAAGCTGTTGCATATGTGCTCTCGTGGCTCGTATGGCCTTCAGTCAGCGTGTACACATATGCATGTATGTGCATGTATCTTGCGTATGTATGTAGCTGTGTGTTTAAACAATATATGCAGACACATAGGAAGTACAACTTCGGTATGTGTATTGTGAGAATACATACAAAACATACATACCCAATCTACATACGGATACATTTGCCCTACAGAAACTCACACACACAGACATATACACATACAACAAACAGATACATACAGACACGCACATATGCATACATACAAAAGACAAACGTAGCATACACACGTAAGACACATGTGCATGTATGTATGTATGTATGTATGTATGTATGTGTAAATAATGTCGAGCGAGACAAAAGGAAAGAGCTCATGCAGTGGTCTGAAATGCATGAAGGCTGAAGGAGCACTGCTTGCGAGCGATCCGCTCCCCATCGCCCCGGCATTAGTTTTCTACGCCGCTCGTCGGCGTTTGTTCTTCATGGCCTCTGAAACAAAGGAGTGGCAAATAAACCACGCCTGCAAGATGGATCGTGATCGCGCTGGGCAAAGGTGCACACTTGTGAGACTTGTATCAAGTTCTTGATCATTCACATCTGGGCAGTAACTCGCTGAGCAGGACTGCCTTAGTCTCGTATCGATCGGACTATGGAAAACACAGTGGCCTCAACTGCAAATTAAATTCATGCTGAGTAGCTTTCCATCATGAAGCATGCCGTGTGGAAGGCGGCACTGAAAATGAGGAAGAACCGAGCTTTTGTGGCACACATGGCTTATGACAACCTCTGCGGGCATTGGATACCGCTGCAGCAACCATGCTGGAACGGCATTGCTGGAGCTGATAGCCTTTCGGCTCGCACGTGTCGCAGGCTTGGGTTCCACTGGCTCAGCAGGCGTCTCATCGGCTTGTTCGGCTGCTCGGTCGGCCCGAGCTGCCTCTTCCTACAGACAACATGAGTGAGATCCCTTGAACTAATAGCATTCCGACACTTCCTGCCTCCTCCTCTTTCTCTTCTTCAGCCATCAGAACTCTCGCAGCTTCCAGCGCTTCGTCGGGTTCCGGGTCCATTTCGCCAGCTGCTGGTGCCTAACAGTCGCCACTCGGTGGGGCAGGATATTTCAGGTATACATACCTTGCGAACTCAAAGCATGCAAATCTCCGGTCCTCCTCCACGTCTTCATCACGATCAGCAGCATCGGTTCCACTCTTGGCCCTTTTTTTGTTTTTTTCATCTGTTGCATCCAACAGACTCTTCAGGCTCGTCAACTCCTCTTCGGTGCACTTGGCGGCAACTTCAGGTACCGCCAGCAAGAAGCGTATCTTCTGCGTTTTGCTTGCGTTTTTCCGGCAGTGAATCTGATAAGCAGCAAGCAGCCACGAGAGTGAGTCCACTGTGAGTTTGACAATCTCTTGGCTTTTGATTAAGCCAACAAGCAGGGGCATTCCTTGCAATCCCCGTCGGAAGAAAAAACAGCTGCCCATCTTCTCAGCCAAGGGCCCACCCATGAGGTGGATGGTGAAATCGTAGGTCTCCGTCTGAGCACAGGATGCAAACACGGCTGCTTATCTTGCGGTGTTATGAACATACGAACGGAGCTTGTTAGCCAAGTTGCAGCAGTGAGATCCAGCAGCAACTCCTTCACAACAGGCCTCGGCGTATAGCTTATTTCATGCAGGACGTCGGCAGAAAGCAGGCTTGGCTTCATCATCCAAGTAGCTGCTGCAGCTTCACACAAAGAGCAGAAACACTCTCATCCACCAGGAGCGGGTCCACATCTCTGCGCTTGCTGTCTTTCTTCGGCACCGCATTTTCATTCACTTTGAGAAGGGGCAGAGGACCAACAAACTTGTACGGGAGTTCAACCATCTCCAGTGCCTTGGTCCAATTCGTGCATACAAACACTGTCTCGGCATATAAAAAGTTTGCTGTAAGCATCTCTAAGTTTGGAGTCCAAGCTTCGTACATGATGCCGGGCGTGCTCCCCAAACACAAGTAAAATCGGGACTCATGCTGCACCATCATCCCACGTTGCGTCAAGGACGGTACAAAGAACTTGGCTTGCGCGGTATCAAAGTCCATTCCCAGCCTTATTTGATGAGAGATTCAGATATGCTTAGACAAAGCATGGACAAACCAAGATACTCGTACGGATCAAGCCAGCAACTTTTTCGCATGGCGCAAAGCCTTCATGGTATTGAGGGCGACTCTGGTGTGGTGGAAAGGAGTTGTGCTGGGGAAGGGCTTGAGCACGTCGTCCAACTTGAAATGACTACCTGAGCTTCAAGCGGCACATGCAAAAAGGATTCCGCATGATGCAAAACAGCTTGAAGCACACATCGTGAAATCACGGTGCTCCCGCCGTACGAGTCTGGCCGCCAAATGCTGCCTTTCAATGCCCGTACTTCGGCACCTTCCCAGTCCTCAGAAGAAAGGTTGATGCCATCGGGAGCTCGACCTGGCTCATCACCATCCTCCTTGTGGAGGACTTTTTTCTGCAGTGCTCGGACAGTCAAACATTGCAAATTGGGAAGCGATGCTTTCTCGTGTTTGCTGGCCCTTTTGGTCGACTCTTCCATTGACTGGAACATCGACTCGACGTTGGCGGAGGAGCTGAATGCTGGGTTCCATGCCATTATCAAGCTCGTTGTTTCCGGAGTGATCTTCCACTTGTTCTGCTCAAAACACGTCATAATCTCCCTGTAGTGCATGAAATGCGTGTACAATGCGTTTTTTGCGAGGAAATCATTCCAGCGGGCCTCGGCTTCTAAGCCAAGAACCATCTCCCATTCCTCTTGCAAACATGCCTGGATCTGATTCTGCGTTTCCAGCTCTGGAGCTGTGCACCCATCCACGGCAAGAGCGGAGGCGCTCATTGGAGCACTCTGCAGGTGCAACCCATAGTGCACCAGCTCGAAGATGATGGACAGCAGGGCTTGCACATGATCATGAAGTAAGTTCTCCAATGTGCTTCGCCTGCGTTCTTGCACAGCAAGCACCTGTCCAGCTTTCGCGGCTACTTTTATCTGCACCTACTCTAATTGCGTATCTTATCGGGATCGGCCATATGCCTATATGCTACATCTCTATATATATGGAGACATCGCCTGGACTAGGAGACGTTGAATGAATCACTGCCTGCCTAGGGTTTTCCGAAACAAGAAATCCCGATCGCTACCCAGATCCTTGCTTAGGGTTTAGGGTCCGGGGTTTCATAAGGTCTAGGATGGTCTATAATATAGGGCTTCATTCACGGAGACAAGTGATTGGGGGAGAAGTAAAAAACGTCAGACACAGCGATTACAACCCCTTAGAATGAAGAAGACAACCCCTGCATGGAGCAAATGGTGAAAGCTGGGCGGATAGGGCGCCAGCGGCTACTCTGTTCAGTAGAAACATTTGCAGGCTTACCCTACTGAGTCACTGACTGGGCCTGATCTGACAGTTTTTGATGCTCCAAAACCTCGGGTGTGAGTACTAATTGCTTCTTCCAACAAAACAAGTGTCCCTAATTTACAAAACTATATCCCGGAAGGCATTCTTGCGGAACCAGCGATGAGTTTTGAAAGGCCAAGAGGGTTATCACTGAGACCGTAGCTCATTCATTCGACTTCAAACAACACAAATGTATAACTGTATTCTCCCTTTCTTTGTCGCCTTTTCAAAAACCGGTAACCCGTGAACCCTACATTCTCAATGCGAACAGCGAGCCCTCAACCAACACCCGAAACTTCAAACTGAAAATACACCCGTTACGATCCCTGCACGAGCCCTGATGAAGGACCCCAACTCCTACACAAAAACCTTCAACCCTACAGCCTGCAAACTCAAAACTCAATACACGACTTCAGGGTTTGCGGATTGCACAGGGGAAGGGTCCAGAACAGAACCAGGAGCACAGCGAAGATGCTACGACTGATCTGTTGACTCTAAAACTCAATTCAATAAAAGTCGGATTCTCTTATTTGGGGCTGGGAGGCTTAACAATTGGGGGAGGGGAGTAATGAGTCAGATACAAAACATCACGTTGTTCGGTTGTTGTGAAGGGGGAAGCCCTGGTTTAGTTTAGCTGGAGGTCTAGCTACTTCGTTAATCTACCAGCCTTGTCCCGACACTACATAAAAGGCTAAGGACCAAGTCAAAGCATTTGTCAGTCCTACAACATAAAAAAACCGCTTAACATCCAGCATCAGCTCTCAAAGTGCTGTGACACGTCCAATTGTGGCATTAGCACAAAAGCTGCAACCAGTAACAAACAAACCACATGTTTACATCACCCCGGCCTGCATGTTGCCCTCACCAGATTGAACTGCTAAGTCTGCTGTCAGGCCCAGCTTAGCCATCCCCTGGAATCCGAGACCATCTGAAATGGTCTCCCAAAGCATCTGCTTGAAGCCGGGTCCATTCATGAAGAGGGTGTGCCGATGAGACGCCATCAACTTGTTGGCGTTCTTTTGCTAAGCGACAAGGAGAAAATGCAAGAAGCAATGCATGCTGAACACCACTCGCAGACATCATGAAGTCAAGTCACAAGGTCGATGGTGAGGCTGCGAAACGGCTTTGTCATCAATGCCATTGTCTGAAACAAACTGTGTGCTTCTTCATCCACCAGAGCCTGGGCGGATGAAAAGTGCCAGACGTGTTTTGCCAATACTCGCTTCTGTTTGCAGACTAAGTTTCTTTGACGCACAGCTCCAGGATTCTGTCGAAATCTCCCTTCTTGCCCTCTTCATCATCCTTCTTCTCCACGAAGAAGCAGTTCTTGCCTTCCTCACAAGGATGAGAATGGCTTCTAAGCGAAAGAAGCTTAATTAGGCCTGTCCTCTATGGAAGACCACATCACCAACAGCAAAGTCGATGTGTACTTCTTCTGGAACCCGTCGGCGTTGAAAGACCAAGCACACCAACGCTTCTTGTCGTGAATGGGGCCCTGGCGCCTCTGTCAGGAAGCAAACAGAAGTAATCACAGCACAAAGCTCCCGCGCTGATGCCCACCTTGTGACAGCGTCCAAGCATTCCAAGACTCTCTGGAAGTTCAAGGCTGGGTCCATGCTCACTGAAAATCCATTCCTCAAACACAAACAGAAAGACCAAACACTGTCACAACCCCAACTCCCTCTTCACTGCTCTGCCCGAGGGTCTCTGCCAGGATGGCTTCTTGAAAGAGTTGTTGAAGCACGTCGCCTTGCTCAGCCTCAGATTTCAAGCATAACAGCACTACGGCATACATGCTCACTTTTGAAGCTGCAGAAAAATTTGCACCCCAGCGTCGATGTCCAAATATCGCCGTCCTCCCTCTTGCCAGGAAGCACCTAGCTTTCCGGTTCCCCAGGGTGAGCGCCTTGATTTCATCAGCCAAGACGTCAAAGTGTGCATGCCTCAGATTGTGCACAACGGCAACATTAATGATACCAAGCTTTCTATGCCTAGTGTTGCAAGAGCAAGCATCAGGAGCTCTTTGCAGTCGAGGCACGCTTTACTCCCGGACAGCAGTTGAAAACGTGTCCCAAGTGCGAGTGGAGTTTGTGCCTTGGCTACACGAAGACTTCATCATTCATGGCACTTGTCAGCAGCAGCAGCATCAGCAGCATGAAAACACGGATCCTAGAGACGCAAAAAAGTAACCCAGAGTCCGACTGTATACGTTAGTGAAAACTCACACGCACACACACACACACACACACACACACTGACACAAATGCCTAGACAGACATGTGACAAAATGAGCGAGACCACGCAAATTGTGCAGCTACTCTGTTGAGCAGGCACTTTGTGGTGGTGCACCCAGCAGATGAGCAGCTACTGCGATGAAGACTTCTACGAGGCATAGGCATGTCGTCTATAGGCAGCAGAATAGCTAATCAGCGAAGCAAGACAGGAACGACAAGACGTACTTGACTAAGTCAACGAGCAGCACGTGCAGACAAGAGACTTCTGTGGACATAGAGCCAGACGCAAGAATTCCCAGAAACCGCACAACACTTGGAAACTTGAACATGTTTTCCGGATGCCAAGTGGCAGTTCGTCCCTCAACAGGGCAAGCGGAAGACCGCGTTGAGCCAGGAATTGAAATCCGGAGTAAAGCGGCGAGCCCTCGTCGGGACACAAGACAATTCGCACGAGGCCAGGGGCCTGTTCAACTGGTATGTCGTTCCAAACGGCTGCGCCCGTTGTCTGGTCGGTGATGTACGCTCTGCCATCGTAGTAGTCCCGACGTTCATGCTGCTCGTGCTTCACGGGTCTGAGAAGAGGAGAAGGAGGCTGGAGCTGAAGGTCGAGCAAAGAAACAACGTGAAGAACTGCTTTCAGATGCTCTCTTGCTGCCAACTTTTGCTGTCGAAGCTTCCCGATTGTCTTGGGCCTGCAGAAGCGTGCTAAGCAAAACAGTATGGCGCATGCTGCATTGTCTTTCGGAGTGCGTCCGAGATGCAGTTTACTCATCGTGGCGGCCTTGTCATCGGAACTAAGCATCTTGGCAGCCAGCGTGTCCGCCACAGCTTGGCTTTCGCGAAGCTTGGTTTCGTGATCAGCTGTGGATGGGAGAAGGTCGGACAACCTTTGAAGCGTCCAAGCCATGGCCTTTTGGCCAATGGATATGATAGGGACCCAGACCTTGATGACAGCAGTCTGTCTCTGCATATTGCGCGTGTAAAAAACGCAGTCTTGGGAGCAGCTAAGCCACATCCATTCCAGCCTTTGGAGAGGCATCCACCAGCAGTCCGATACTCTTGAACTTTTGGCCACTCATCTCCTGAAAGAAATTTGTCATCCGACGGAATGAAACGCATGGGCGCAGTTCCGCCTCCTGAAGCACCGTCGCTGCCTTTCTCAGGTATCTGAAAGCAAAGTCGCAACTGAGCCTGCGCAGGATATGGAATGAGTGAAGGCTCTGCTTTGCAAGGTCCGAGAAAAATAGACCTGCCAAGCAGCCTGTGAGCGTGAGATGGACAGAAGTCCTCCAGTCCAAGCATCCGAAGATCATTATCTGCCGTCTTGGTCACAAAACCCGTGCTGCGAGTGAGAAAACGATCTAAGCACAGCATGTGCTTGATCTTCTTCTGTCGCTTGAGGCCACGTCCATCCCTCGCAGGGGTTTTTGAAGTTGCAATTTAGGGGGCGGGGCACAAAAGCCAGTGCAACAAATCAGCTTCTTCCATTGCACACGAGGAAAACACCTTTGCTTATCTTAGCCGTGCCTTTTGGCAGGATGAAACTCATGCGTAGCTGCCGGCATCGGAATGCTGGGGGCGAGGGTCTCATTCAGGAAGCCTTCGGCCTTCTGAGCCAAGCTGTGCAGCAGCCTCCTCTGGATTCTGTCGTTGGGCACTCGTGCCTGAACGCAAAAAGTATCGGCGACTTCACAAATGGGGTCTGCCAAGCCAACGAAAGAATCGCCTCCGTAGAGATCTCTTCGAATGGCTGCCTCATGATGAACCATGCAGCCACAGATAGTTTCACACCTGCCAAGACAGCGACTGGAAAGGAGACCACTCAATAGACGAAAGCAAGCCTCCTGTGAGCTTCTGCTGTGCGGGCGACAGCTGCTTGCAACGGGTCCACCTCTCCATTCATGGTTTTATCTGGTCTAGCATACAAATCAGTGAGGATAAGACAGGGCCTGTCGTGCCAGCCGACATGCTTCAAAAAAGCCTCCCAGGAAGCCAAATCCACGTCGTGCCCCAAGGTCTTCAGCCTACCTGAGTATTTGAAAGAAAACTCTTGCTTGACATGCTTCGAACAGAAGAATTCATAAAAGCTGCAAGCTGGAGTATTCGGCAGAAGCTGGAGGACCATGTCTTTGGGGCACATGTTTGTGAGCAGGATCTCCAGGGCAGAGAGGCATCCCTTCTGCAACTCAGTTTTGCAACCACGAACTTGAAGAACCGACACGGCCTCAGTTTGAAGCTTGAAGTTACATCTGCAAAAGGAGTCACAGCGCATGAGGCAGTCAGAGGCAAGGTGCTGCAAACAGAATGCCAGGGATTGTGAAAGCATCAAATGCCAGACGTATTCTTTGCCTTCCAGTTTCTATCTTCTTACCTCGATAATTTGGAGCTCGAACGATGTGTGTGTCCACATCGATTGCCCAGGCCGATGACATCTGGGCTGTCAAGTTGTCTCTCCTGGCAGAGAGTCATGACTAGAAATAGGTGCTAACAGCACTTCAATAATGTTATTGCCAAGGTACACTTTTGTGTACCAGTTGCTGAACTTCTGCTGGCGGGAAAAAAAGGGCCATATCTCTGCGACGCGCCAGAAAAGCTGGTAACCATCAGCGGAGCAGCCTTGCACCTTTGTGTTAAAGAATGACTGGCAGCTGTGCAGACGTATGTGCTCCGAGCAGCTTGGTGAGCTTGCAACACTCCTTCTCGAGGTCCACGCACCGTGAGGAACAGTGCCACGGATGGAGTGTAGGGAGTGTCCACAGGAGGCACTTCCTCTGGCTGGTCAGGGAGGTCTTCGTCGTCGAGAACCAGCTGCTGTTGCGGAGACTCCAGCCATCGAGGCCGGATGCCGAGTCCAGCAGCTGCGGCCTGCGGTCTGTGCTTGTCAAGTATGTCCTCGCAAAACTGGCAAGGCAGAAATGGGCAGAAAAAGGCAGGTACTCTGGAAGCGAGAGAGCAGAGACAGTCCTCCCATGCATCGACAGACAAAGTCTCTACCGAGGCAGACATAGGTCTTCCATCTCGAACCTTCTGATCGGCGATGGCTATCTTGGCATTGAGAGCGAAACGAAGACGAAGCTTCTCTTCGAGATCAGTCGTCCTGCGCAGACGTGAGAGGTATGCGGTAATATATATATATATATATATATGTATGTCATGTCGGAACTGTACTGTGTGACGAGAACTTTTACCAGAGCATCTGCATCCGGAACGATTTGCGCATCCGGAACGCTATCTTGCAGTCTCGGGCCCCGCCAGCCTTTGCGCTTCCAGCACCCTCTCTGCAAGCCAGGCATCCATTGGGAGCCTCCCATAAGAGTTCTGAATGTGTCCGCTGAGACTAAGAGTTCTGGATGACTGCGGGAGTTCTGCATGAGGGTTGCTGCGTGACCCATGTGTGCGCACATGGGCAGGACCTGATACCTCATCTGGAACGCTTTGCAGCAAAACATCCGGAACGGTTTGGAGCACGCCATTCCCTGGGACTCTTTACATTTTGACAGTTTAGGCAGATTTGCGCGTAATGGTTCTGCATGAGGTGTGCGGCGCATTCCACGTAGGCACCAGCAGTGTGTTTTTCCAGAACGGAGTGGACATCCAGAACGCACAATCGGCAGCTGCCCCAAGGCAGCTGGACAAGCAGAACGTTGAATATTCATCCAGAACGCATTGGAGCAGAAAAGCCCTCGGAACCCCTTGAAAGTTCACTCTCTTTTGTTTCTTATAATTGTATTTGAAAAGAAGAAAAAGCTCTGCCCGCAATACTAAACTTAAGCAACCGGCCCGACCCGCCGGCCCGACCCGACCCGACGGCCCGACCCGCCGGCCCCACCCACTGGCTGTTCCGACCCGGGGACGCCTGTCGAGCGCCCCCCCCAGGCCGCCCGGCCCAGACCACGGCTAGGGATTTCAAACATCTGTTGGCCAAATCTGGCGGAAGTGAGCCGCCACCGAGCAAAAACCTGTAAACACTGCATTAAACAAAGGCTATAGGGATTTCACACATCTGCTGGCAATATCTGGCGGAAGTGAGCCGCGACATAGCAAAAACCTTGTAAATATTGCGTTAAAACAAGGGCTATAGGGAGTTCACACATCTGCTGGAAGACTCCTGGCGGAGGTGAGCCGCAACCGAGCAAAACTGTAACATCTGTTCTACTGTAGACTGTCAATAGCTGGACATGCGAAAGCCTTCGAGAGAAGATGCACAAGTCGTCGAAGAAACACACACACACAAGCACATGCACACTGACACCGACAGAAGCAGAGTCCAAGGGAAGAACAAATGCGGAAACATCCGGTGAGGACTCCTAAAAGTCAAATCTGCAATAGTAGCTTGCATAACAAATCTTGGGCATACCTCCAAAGCTCGATAAAACCAACCCAACTGCTTTCGCGGTGGGCAAGCCCCCCAGTAAGCAGCACATATTTGGTCAAGGAGCCTGCACAGATAGTAACACCTGTTCTACTGCAGACTGCTCTGAACTGGACATACGAAAGCCTTCGAAAGAGGATGAGCAAGTCATCTAAGACACACACAAAGACACACCCACACTCGCACACTCTCTCACACCCACAAACAGAGTCAACGGGAAAAACAAATGCGGGAACCTCCTGCGAAGACTCGTAAAATTCGTAGCTTCCATAGGCGATTTCGCTTGGGCTAACACAACAGAAGCACATGACACACGACGGGTTCTGCGGATGGGAGCCCCATGACAACTCACTCTTGAAGGACATATTCTGCAAAAGCCAGGGGAGCCTGGAAGAGCAGGCCTCTGCTTCCCGGCAGCAACGTGGCGAAGCAAACAATACTGAAACTGAAGTTGCATGAGACTGACATGGAGTGCTAGCAGGCCAGTCAAAGCTCTCAAGGTTCTACTGCACCATTTCCTCGTTGATGCTGGCCACAAACAAGACTCGCATCTCTTACGACACTTCTCACGAGTGCCACAAAGCTGCAGACAATGTTTAGGAAGGCATGAACTGCACACAGCTCCGCCGCATGAATGAAGCAACTAATAGAGGGCAATGAATTCTCACCTCTTCCTAAATACTTCATCCAAGCACCATGGGGGACCAGAGACTGCTGCAGCAACAACCTTTCTCACGTCTGAGCACCATTTCACAACCGTGCAGCAAGCAGCTGAGTTGATTCAAAATCTCTCCGGCTGGGCGCAGAGATAAGCCATGATAAGCGGAGATAAAGCTCCGGACACTTGCGTCTTGTTCACTCCGCTTTGGCCCGCATGTGCTCCTGCCACAAGCCCGAACAGAAAAGGACCTACAAAAGGAAATTCAAGGATGAAGTGGCAGGAAGCAGTGGAAGCAGCGGTTCCTGGATGGTCTCAGGCCAAGCCTTCACGGCCTTCTTTCCTTTCAAGGTCAAACTGCTGAATGCCTTGCGGGCCGTTGCACCCAGTCCGGCGATGAAATCACCTTGGCCAATGAAAGCAACTCTCAGGCTACAGCTGGAGACTCAGCTATTCGTAGAACTGATCATAGCAAAGTGGCTTGGGCCCATGTCGCACAGAAGATCCGCAGCTTCGCTCAAGCTGGTCAGCTCTTCGGCTTGCAAAATCTTGATGCAGAATGGCGCATCTTGCCTCACATCGCGTCAATGAAAGTAGCAAGGACAAGGCTTGCCCAAAATATGCACCTGCAGGGTCACCCTATGCGACGCTTTCTGTGGAAAGTCTAATCTCGCAGCGAGGCACGAGGGAGTGGAAGCCGTAAGCAAGTCCAAGAGTTCGGGCTCCACCTCAAGCGCTCCAGCCTCGGAGCACTCCTTCGTCGGCTGTGGAGGCTCCTGGTCACTCTGCAAGGACTCCGACTCTTCATCCGGTTCCTTGTCCGCGAGGTCCTTCTCAAGAGCCTTTGGCTGGTCCAGCCCTGCCTCCTCGGATTTCGTCTTTCTGTTCTGCTTCGGCGGATTCTCGCCTCCGGACTGCTTCGTGGATCGCTTCGCGGAGGCAGGCGACATGCGTTTGCTTTGCTTGAACTTCCCGCAGAAAAGATCTTCATCCTCTCCGCCGGACTCCTTCTCAGCAGGCGAAGCCTCCACCGTGCTCCGCCCCTCAGCTCTGGATCCGGAGTCCAGACCATCATCGTCACCGGCAAAGTCCAAACGCCGCCGGACAGCCGCTGGGCCGTCCTCGCGATGAGCTCCCTTGCGGCCGACCCTTTTCGAAGAGCTGCCCCTTGGACGCCTCTTCTTCAACTTGACAGGCGTCTTCTCTTCCGCACCAGAGGTCGGCTTGGACATGATCTTCCTCATGTCCTTTTCGGCCTCCTGCAGAAAAGAGGGTTTGCAAGAAGAAGCAGAGTGACAGAGATGCGTCGGTGCAGTCTTCGAACATAACATAGAGCGAGGTACTGTACAAGCTTGAAGCTTCAGGGTCACCTAAAATTTAGGTGACTGTTCCATGGACCACGCGTGCAACTATGCTTCGGATGTCTCCGAGCAGAATGTATTTGCAGCCCACCGCAAGAAGCCAACAGCATGGTCAAACTCTGCAGAGTGTGGGTTCTTAAGGAACCAGCTTCACTAGGACTCCTTCACTTTGAGGATTTCTTCGATGCCACGAGATATAAACACATGTAGCATAGGATTAGCAGGCTTCTTTGTGAGCAAATGTCTTCACTTCGACTCACAAAACCCATACACATCCATCCTCAGACTTCCATAACGGCCATTCCTTGGACACCAAAATTCATAAACGTCGTCATGTAAATTTACAGGACGACTTTGGAGCACTGTGCATCATCCATATCACAGGTTTCCAGGCCCCTTGCACAGCAGAAGCTCGTGACATGTGGGTATGTCAAATTGCATGACGACCACGAAGCAGTGTGCATGATCTACAAAAACTGAACTAAATTTGAAAAGCGATCCGATTACTGTTTTGGCACTGGGGAACCGCTTTTCAAAACCAAGGCCCAGCCCCGACCCGACACCCCAGCCCACCCCGAGGCAGCTCCCCAACTTGGACCTGTTCACCCCTGGCAGCCATCAAAGAAATATTCCGAGTCGTCTATCGGGATGAGAGAGAAGAGTAAGCTGGAACTCAAAGAAGAGCAGTGCAGAGGGAAGAAGCACAATCAAGGTGATTTTCTGTTAAAGTGTGGAAGCAGACGAATTGATGGTGGCACCGACAGGGCCTGAGGGATGTTCAACGCTGCTCTCCACAAACATCACACCCCACAGTCCTCTACGCTACAGGTGAAGAACAACGTTCTGCCAGGCCATGATTTCAATCGAACTGTCTCTATGCGGCTGCAACTCAAGACAAAAGCTGCAAGAGGAAGCAGAGTGGAACAGGGTCTTAACTACCAGCATCCAGGACAGCACGTTTTGTCTGAGAGAAGGCCAGCTTCCACCCATCAACGGCCCTTGCCGTCGCCTCGCCGATTAGCGGCCTTCCATTCTTTATAGCAAGACCGGCAATTATGATGATGCAAGTCTTCCCCGGTGAGAGGGTCAAAACACGGAGATCCACGGGAGCAAAAAAAGCCCCTGGTGCAGTTGCTGCACATTGCACGACGTGGCATCGCCGTGCTTGACTCGCGAGCCAACAGAGCTGCTTCGCGCTCAGCCACCCTGGCTTCTCTCACAGCGATCGCCTTCTCCTTCTGCAAGAGTGACGCTTCTTTCTCTGCCAAGGCCAAGAAGGCAGCATCCGCGGCATCCTTCATCATGTTTTGCAACTTCGCACGAACCTCCTCGACAACCGTATCTTGGAAAAGATGCTGCGAGGGAGAAGCCATGGCTGCAACTGGCGATCTTCTGCAGGCAGCTGGTAAAGGAATCCGCAAGGATGTCTCGAAGCGTCAAGTCTTCAAAGCCAAAAGCTACGTTTGAGCGATCTCTGCGAGAGACAGTCAGTTCTTAATCAGCAGTGGGCAACATGCAAGGCCTTACGACCTAACAGCTGCATCTCGGATCCTTGCGCAACTCTTCTAGGAGCTGTTCGTAGCCCTCTTCCATGTCTGCAAGCTTGAACTTCGAGATCCTGCGTGACAGGATAGAAGGCAAATGGAAAACCATTCAAGACAATCTCAGTACATCATCCTGGCATTAAAACTTAGGATCACTGCTGAATACACCCGTCCGTCGCTGCTTCTTGCTCAGGCAACCAACCAAATTGGTCATGTCATCCAGGGTCTTGCAGCTCGACACTAGCACAGCGGAGGCATTCTTGCCAGTAACTTGGATGGCCAAGAGCCACAGGAAGTATTTTTCAGTCTGCTGCCACACACCGACAGTCAATCCAGCAAGAGGCTGAACAGTCCAAGCATCTCAAATCCAAGATCTTTCCCAAACGATGCCTCCACAAATTGGAGGCTGCTTTTACCTCGGATTTGATCAACAGCAGAGATGGTCAGGATGCAGTAACCAGAAAGAAGAAAAGACACCTGCTGCACCGCTTCAGACTCTGCATTCTTGTCCTTGATCTTTTTGCACCGGGAGACTGTCGCCTCCAAGAGTCCTTCCTCACTCGGCAAAACATTCGAAACACGAGGGAGGCCTCCCAAAAGAAGCAACACTGAGACGAGTATGTGTCTTCACAGTGATATTTGAACACTCACCCCGGCTCTCAAAAAAGAATCGGCATGAGAAAGATGTGTTCATAGCGAGGAGCTGCTTCGCCACCTATCTGAAGGAGGTCGCTGGGGTGGACGAACGGAACAGAGGTTGCAAGCACGTAAGCAAGCTGGCGGGTGCTTACATCCTCCAGCTTCAAGACCTTCGGTCCGCGGGTAAGCTCCTTGCTCGGAAGTGCAAAGACACTCTGCCGATCCACTTCGATGGCATCTTCCTCGTCGTCAGACGACTCTGGTGTCGAGGAGTCGCCTAGATTTGAATTGAAGACAGCTACAGCCAGGCCCCTGAAGAACATGTGCAAAGCGGGTGTCTGCAAAAAACAGCACCATCCAAGCCTTTGTTCTTCTTGCTTTTCTTCTTGCTCTTCTTCTTCGCCTCTCTCGACTTCGAAGTTTCTCCTGATTTATCACTCCCACATGTCCCAGGAGCACCTAGACCGAATCCCTGACTATACTCATGACCTGAGAAAAGCATGCAATCAAGCCATGGCCGGATATCCTGGCGCGATAGCTTTCTCAAGCTCGGCTACCCCGTGGCGAAGCAAAAAGTTGTGAGCACTGGGCGGCGTCTCATCCGCTTCCAGCGACTTCGTGGACAGTGTCCTCAAGTTTTCCGTCGCACACCGCAACAAAGGCGTCATGTAAACTGCACACCCCCAAAATTTGGAACATCTTACTTCGTTCAAATGACGAACAATTCAAGAATCGAGAAACCATTGATGCTTCAGTTGCTGGCGGATAGGCGGATAAGTTCGCCGGCGGAATTGCCGCTTTGAGATGTTGCTCAAGGTAATGTCCTGGGGTTAGCCCGCCTGGCGGACTAGCTGCTGCATCCTTCTCCTGTCTTGGTTTATTAGATCGCACATGATTTGGTTGTGCAGCGGCCACCACAAGTATTCGGCCGGCAACCGTTGCCGGCTCCAAGAACATCAGGAGTGCGTAATCGGAGGTTTTGCTTTGGGCACTTCAAACCATACACATGCCCGCCGTTTCCCGTTGTTGTACCTGGGTATCATTTTCTAGCTTGTGGCACGAATGAGAAATGCCGACACGGCCACACCGACAGCAGGTTGTTCTTCCAGGCTACCCAAAATCACTGCTCAAGCAAAGCACTCGCCATCAACTCTCATAGGTATGATGCAATTATTCAAAAACACGACAGTGTTCGAAGTGCTGCTACAGCAAATACAGGCTTCCCTGGAGACCGGTCAACGTGAAAGGCACATGAACCCAAGCGTCCTCTGCTTCTTGGTGATCACCATGCTGTAGCGGAAGCCCGCCACTCAGCAAGCAGGCACTCTTACACCTAGCGGACCTAGAGAAAGCAGGAGCTCAGCAGGACGTCTTAAGGCGAAGTCAACCGACTTCCAGTTTTATGTCGCAACATGTGTTGTTCAAGTCATCTCCTGGAGCGACAGCATGTATCATCTAACAGCTTGAACCTGGGCCACACACCTACATCGCAGGCAACAAGGGCAGCGGGTGCAGGCCCAAAGCGGGACTTCAGAAAGGTTCTCAGGCAGGCGAAAGCGAGCTGCAGCGAGGTTTGCTATCGCTTGCAAGGAGTCGTGAAGCTCGCGAATTAACCATTGTATCATGGTGAATGCAAGATCGAAGTAGTTGCGCCAAATTATGCCACTGCAAATCCGACATGCACACTGTCTCACACTGGAGTGTACATCTGAAAGATTCAATGATATCCTGCAGGCCAGGCCATGCGTGATATCCATGCCTCACAAGCTGGATGACCGGTTGTCCTGAACCATGCGTCCACTGATCACAGATCCTCGGCGTCCACAACCTGTGGCGGAGAGCTTTTTCTGGGGGGCAACAGACACATGAGCCCAAAGATTTCAGGCCCTTCGTCTCTCGGGTGGATGGAAAGGTAAGCGGATTCAAGGCACACCCTACACGTGACAAACCATGTGCACGCAGCAGTCTCCAAGCATAAATGGAATTGACAAATGCTGGAGCATGCATACAACAAGATGCCAAACCTACCGCTGCCCACACCAGGCCAGGTAGCCACCTCCAGTCGCTCCCATCCTTCCCCGTCCTCGTCGGGGAAGACTGGCGGAAAAGGCGGCGGAGCAAGAAGTTGCTGAGCCTTAGCTATCCCCGAGCAGTGCAAGCGCTTCTGCCAGAGAACGGTGCTGGATACCGCCCCATCTCTTTTTTCTAGTCAAACATGAACGAGGAGAAGCTGTAATCTGTGGGACTTGAACACGAAGTCGTCTGGGCGGACGCGGGGATGCATCACCCAAGTCTCTCCAACCAAGTCTCCGATCTTCATCCTGCGAGTGCAAGGGGTGTGACTGATCATGTGCCACTGCCGTAGCTGCTAACGCAGATTACAATCCTCCCGGATCAATGCCGAGATGATACCGTTCAGGTGCTGCTCGAGCCCACCCATAGCTTGCTCAGGCAGAACATCACGTCGGAAACCAAGCAAAAGAGCAACCTTGCATTTCAACGACATGGTGCTAATAGCCTTGCAAGACATGCATAATGATTCAGATAGGTGGCGGCACGACCGAAGGTCCATGTGTAGGACTGGCTGCCCTTCATGTGCTCATTGCCAGACCAGTTCTTGCGATTCCTCCCATAGCGTTTGGTCAACGGCTCAGTGGCCAATGACAGAAACCTCGCGGAAGCACACAACAAAAATGATTTCATAAAACATAAAACATGACGAAACTGATAGTTCAAAGTACCCAGACACGTATTCTCCATGAGTGGGTGGGCGGAGATGAAACGAAGGCAGTCGAGGAGGAAGCAATCGGAGCCGACGAGTCGCGTCGGCTTCCTCAGACAAGCAATTCTTAAGAGGCTCGTAATGAATCATGCTGCTTCAGCAAGGACTTCCTGACGGGACACTTCGACTTGGCGGCAAAAGATCCCATGGTGATGGCAACCTGGCGATGGGAACAAAGTCGATCTGCCACCTGCCAGCAGGCTAGTCTCGCAAGTCTGACAGCTCATTGCACTGACTCTACATCCCTGCCAGATGACACCCACATGGCCCGCCTCGACAGGACGAAAGCGGGGCATGACTGAAAGAAGCGGCTGCTCATACACGTTGAACACACCAGCATTCCTGCAGAAAATACCACAATCTGCATCGAAAGCCTCAGCTGTCTGAACATGCATGCGCTACGAGTCGGCGCTTCCCAACATCTCACGGAAACTGCTCAGTTCTGACAACGGATACCTACGGCCACGGCACAGCGATCATGTTACCCTTCTGCACAAACAAGCGTGATTGATCTCCTTCTGCATCTTCGTGACGCATCCTGAGCGACGTGAAATGTGCAGTAATCTCCGATGCAGCTTCTACCATGTGCAACCTAGGTGCGACTGGGAAAAGCAGGCCGGGATGAAGGATGAACAGACAGGAGCACTAAAGCGTAGAGCACCGAGCTTCAGTCGGACAAGTTTGCCAATGCCTGTCAGTCAGAGCTAGAGGCGGCCACACATTGCAATGGCCATGCGCTGCCGACGAGCTGCAACGAATGCGCCCTTCTCTTGTCAGGACATCATCACGAGGAGAATGGGCAATATCGAAGCAGGCACACTGAAAGCCAGCCTTTGGTGCGAGCAAAAGGCTAGGCTAGGCAAACAAAGGCTCCGACGGCAAAGACTGAACCACAGCTTCGACGATGTCCTTTGCAAGCCGAGAAACCGCCTCCACTGAAAGGCTCAGTCTGCATTCGCCAGCAAACATCTCGAATAAATCAAGGTGTCTATACTCCGATCCAATCATCATGTATGTCGGTCTGAACACGAAAGGGTAGTGCTCGCGGAGCACACTGACAAACTCATTTGACAGGTCAGCGACGGAAACCATGGCGTATGCAAAGCAAGGCCAGCGAAAAGCTGCTTGTTACTTGACAAAGCGAACAGCCTTCTGAAACTAGCATGATCAAGGATCATGCTTCCTTGCTTGCTCTGTTGCATGCACCACTTCTTTAATGAAAACTCGGACAGCACACCAGCCTTGAGACTGACAACCTCCGAGGCACACACGGCGAAACCGTGCAACATGTCTCAAGAAGCAAGTGTCATCCAGAACGTTTACCCGCCATGGAACGCATGCCCGTGCGGCATGCATACGGAAACGCTTGATTTCAGGCCCGATAGATCATCATTTCCAGGCCCGATTATAGGTATAGATCATAGATGATACTAATTTACTAATATAGTTATATTCAATCGCAGACTTCAGGCTCGAGGGTCCGATTCTTCCCTTCAACTCCTAAACCTCAAACTTCCCACCGAATCCCCCTAACCCGAAGTCCTGAAAACCCTTTAAACTTTCAACAAAGCCTTGAACCCTCCTAACCCTAAAGCCCTAAAGCCCTAAAGTTCCTGGCGCTGGCTGCGGTCGCCACTCCGTCGAGGCCGTGGCTTAGGTTAGGTTAGGGCTAGGGTTTAGCTCGGGCAGGGTTTTGGGACTTTGGGTGGTTTAGGTTAGGTTAGGGTTTAGCTCGGGCAGGGTTTTGGGACTTTGGGTGGTTTAGGTTAGGTTAGGGTTTAGCTTGGGCAGGGTTTTGGGACTTTGGGTGGTTTAGTTTAGGTTACTTTTAAGGCTTAGCTTGGGCAGGGTTTCGGGACTTTGTGTGGTTTAGGTTGGGTTAGGGTTTAGCTTGGGCAGGGTTTCGGGACTTTGGGGGGTTTACGTTGGATTAGGGTTTAGTTTGGGCAGGGTTTCGGGACTTTGCGGGTTTGTTTTCGGTGGGGCAGGGTTTTGGGTTTTGGGGATTTGGGGATTTTGGTGGGTTTCTCAGCCTCGTCATGCAAATGTCACGACCTTCGGGTCGTGGCTGCCGCAGTCTTCGGACTGGGGCGTCACAGCCTTCGGGCTGTGGCTGTCACAGCCTTCGGGCTGTGGCTGTCACGACCCTCGGGTCGTGGCTACCGCAGTCTTTGGACTGCGGTGTCACAGCCTTCGGGCTGTGGCTGTCACAGCCTTTGGGCTGTGGCTACCGCAGTCTTCGGACTGCGGCGTCACAGCCCTGGGCTGTGGCTGTCACAGCCTTCGGGCTGTGGCTGTCACGACCTTCGGGTCGTGGCTACTGCAGTCTTCGGACTGCGGCGTCACAGCTCTCGGGCTGTGGCTGTCACAGCCTTTGGGCTGTGGCTGTCACGACCTTCGGGTCGTGGCTACCGCAGTCTTCGGACTGCGGTGTCACAGCCCTCGGGCTGTGGCTGTCACGACCCTCGGGTCGTGGCTACCGCAGTCTTCGGACTGCGGTGTCACAGCCCTTGGGCTGTGGCTAGCGCAGTCTTCGGACTGCACGTCACAGCCCGAGGGCTGTGGCTGTCACAGCTTTCGGGCTGTGGCTTCTGCATGACGAGGCTGTTGTTTCGGGGTTAAGGGTTCAGGGCTTAGGGCTAGGGTCCAGGAGTTAAGGGTCAAGGGTTCAGGGTCAAGTTTAGGGCCTTTTGGGGCAGAGTTCAGGGTGTAAACTAGGACTTAACACCCAAACATCTTGCCCTAAACCCTGGCCCTAGCCCTAGCCGTAGCCGTAGCCCCTAAAAGCCCTAATAATAAAATAAAAGTCCCTCCTAAAGGCTTTTAACTAAGTAACCGAACCTTTCTT